TCCCGGCGGCCGTGGTGCTCCTTGGTGGTGGTGGTGTGCCCGGCCCAGGATGTCATCGGCTCAGCTCCGCTCGCTCCGCTCCTGCTAACCAGGGACACCGATATTTTTCTCCCCCCGCTCCACCCCACCCTGCCCCGCCCCGCCGCTGGCGTCCGAACCCAATCTGATTGGACAGCGTGTCAGGACGATCGGGCTGCGTCCGTTGTCGCCGCGCTCTCCCTGCCTTCGGCTGTCGGTGTGGAGGGCATGGTGTGCGACGGAGCCGACGGCGTCGTGTTTGCACGCTCCAGACGCGGCCCTCCGCTGCCTCGCCGTGTGCCCCCCGATCCATCTCGCATCCCTTTTCCCCGAAACAAGCGAGTTTGGACCGTTGGACACGCTCCCCTCCCTCCCTCCCTCCCCGCCGCCGCCCCCTCGATGGTATCAGACTGCGCTCCGGGAGGGGGGAGGGGGGCGTACGAGATACGGCACTCGCAGCGCGATAGCGCCCAGGCCAGGCCCTCGGCCCCGAGGCACTGGATGGTGTGCGTGGTGAGCACCGCGTCGTCCGCCTCCGCCGCTCTAACGATGTCGCTCTTCTTGTTGTTGCAGGGGAGGACGAGGGTTGGGGGAGCGATGGCGACCCTGGAGCGGCTGCATCAGCAGCAGCAGCAGCCGCCGCCGCCGCAGCCAAGTCGGAGGGCGAGGTGGCGGAGTCCTCCGGCGACAAGGAGGGCCCGATGGAGGCCGTCAAGCAGGAAGCCCCCGCCAGCCCCCAGGACAACGAGGACGACGGCGATGAGGCCGCCGCCGCCTCCTCCCCCCGTGACAGCCCCGCGACCAGCCCGGGGGGAGGCAGCCCGCGCGGCAGCCAACAGCACAGCCCGCCGGTGACCCTGCCCGCGCGCAGCCGCAGCTGCAGCCCCGCGGACAGCCCGCAGCCGCCCGCCAGGTTGGTGGACCTCGCGGACGACAAGGACGGCGGCGGCAAGGAGAGCGACAAGGATAGGTGAGTCTACGCGCGTATCTAAGCGCGCTCGTGTATGTGTTTGTTGTGTGTGCGCGAGTAGATGCGGTGGCGCGCAGTTGCACAATGTAATGCACGGTGCATGGCGCTGCATCTCGGCTCTCGGGCGGGATGGGCCATATAGCCAGCGCTGCACGCGCGCAGCCAGCCGCGCCGCGCAGCCGGCCATAGCGGCGTGCTATAGCGGGTCGTTAAGCCCTATCGCAGGCTGCCAGTGTGTGGGCCCGGCCCGGCCGCGCCCAAGCCCAGCGCAGCGCAGACCCTCCCCGACACCCGGGGTTTATAGTTTGTTCGGGAGACATCCTCGCTCCCTCTCTCTCAACCCTCCTGCCTGCCCGTCTATCCCTCCCTCTCTCTCTTCTCGCTCCTCTCTCACCCCCTCCCCCTTTCCTCCCGCTCTCCCTCCCCGCGCCGTCCGGAGAGCCCCGCGACACAGATCTCGGCCCCCGCCTGCGGGCCTATATCATTCCTGCGGCTCAAGCCCGCACTTCTGTACGCACTGACCACACACCAGCCATAGCATACGCTCTACGATGACGCTGTACTCGCTGTCAATAATAAACCCGAGCCGGGGATTGTTTCCGAGTCTCTCCCACCACCACCGCCACGGCAGAGTGTTGGCATGTCACGTCCGCGTCGTGTCATTCGTTGTTAACGAGCCTGCCGATAAGCAGCGCCTCCGCCGAGCTGCGGATAAGCGGCGTACACATCTCACTGCCGCTGGACCCGCAGCACCTGACGATAAAGCTCTGGCCCCGCTGCTATAATGGCAGCGCGGGGCGAGGGAGCGCCGCGGGGCCTCGGCGTGCGTCACAACGGCGTGCGGCGCGGGCCTTCCCCGCAGCGTGACTTACGTGACCGGGTGCTGGCCATCCGCAATAATAGTAATCATAACGACGATGGTGGTGATGGTGACGACCACGACCACGACGACCACACGGCGGCGACGAAAGTATCTCGAGATCGAAATAATTGCGTTGCGCAGAGTTTTGTTTTGTTGTTCAATAACAGCCTTTGCTCATGCTGCTGTCCTTATGCTTTTCTTCGCAGACCCGCGGGGGATGCCGTCGGCGCTGACCGCGGGCGCGCGGGCACGACGGCGACGTCCGCGGCGGCGGCAGCGGGAGGCCCGCGGCTGCGACTCAACCCCAGCCTGGCGACGGACCCGGCGGCCGGCGCGGCGGCGCTGCCCTCTGGCGGCGCGCGGAGGGACTTCCTGGCCGCGCTGCCCGCCTTCCACTCTGCAGGTTGGTACAACTGCTGGCGGCCCGGCCGGGCCGGGCGGCGGGGGAGGCCCCGTCAGTCTGGCCCCTGCGAGCGCCTGGAACGGATCGGATCGGGATCGCGTGGGCGGCGCGCTAGTAGTGTGTGTGTGTGTGTTAGTGTGCGTGTGTGTGTGCGCGCGTGTCTGTGTGGCGCTGGCGTCACCGGCAGCACCCCCATGTGCGTCAAGTCATCACTGTCGCTGCTGGACGGGGCCGCTGCGGCGATCACCACGACGGAGCAGCGCACCACTGGTGAGGACGAGGAGGAGGAGGACGACGTGCGTGCTCGGTGCCGGCGATGTTGTGCGGGTCTGGTCTGGACTCTGCCATGGTGCGCCCCAGAGGTTTACGGAAACCCAGCAGCAGAGTTAAAGACATTTATTTTAATTTTGAATTTGCGAACGAGGAATTATCGCCACGCACTTTGGGCAAAAGAATAATCTGCACGAACCCCAACCCGTGAAGAAAAACGTAGCCTCTGTGTGTGTGTGTGTTCACGTGCGTGAGTGCCAGTATGCGTGCTGAGTGTATCATAGGCCCCCGGGTGCCCCGCACACCTCGGGCTTATCCCCCTTGTTAACCCCCCCGCACGCGTGCCTGTGTGTGTAGATGCTAGGCGTGTGTGTGTGTGTGTGTGCCTGTGCGCGCGTGCAGCCGCGATATGCGGGGGCAATTATCCTCCGAGACTCTCCCCCTCTCCGAGCTATCCCGAGCCCTCCCTCCTCATTCGCTCCCTCGTGTCCTTCTTGCGACTGCTCCCATCCGCGAGGACGAGGATGGCGACAAACAACTCTATATAGTTTCGGTCGGTGTAGCACCCTTGAAAATGTAGAGTAGAGTCGACGACCACGACGTCGGCCCCGTCCCGTGGCCGAGCACACCGCCGCCGCCGCCGGCGGCAACGGACGACACGGAGCCGCTCCTCGGCCCGGCCCCGTCCGGGTAGGCAAACCCGTCCGGCAGTGCTGCGTCGTGGTTGCCTACCCACGAGGCGTTCCGGCTAGCCGACCTCAAAACAAACGTATTCCGTTTGCTTTCGGGTGGACGCTTCGCTTGATTTTCCCCCCCGTGCCGTGCCGTGCGCGCCCCGTGTCGCTCCGCCACCTCGCGCCGCCCGCAGCCGGGGGAAATTGTTTGCTTTGCGCAACAAGCAGCACAATCCGACGAACAGCCTTATCTTGTTTGATCCGTGTGGCCTAGGAGGTGGCGGCGGTGCCGGTGGTGGTCGTGGTGCTGGAGGGGGAGGGGAGGGGGGTTGCACCTGGGGGGCGTCATTTCGACATGGCGGGGCGCACGGAGCTCGCGGGTGCTTTACCGGCCGGGGGTTCGAATCCCGACGGACGCGTTGATATTGTTGTTGTTTACATCTCCTCACCCTCCCTGGCTCTCGCGCTCGCTCCTGGAACTCTCCTCCTCCTCTCCCTCCTGGATCCCCCTGGACCCGCCCCTGTCTTATCGCAGCGAGCGCAGGCACTCGGGGGGCCGTGAAAGTGAGCGGCTTGCCTTGAAGGGGGGAGGGAGGCGAGGGGGGAGGGGAGGCCGCGTCCTGCCGAGGCGCAATCTGTCACAACCCAAACAAGCACTCGACCGGGCTAGAGGGAGCGCGCCCGAGATAACGGCACGAGTACTTGTCGTACTTGGCGCATGTGTCGAGTGCTTCGCGTGTCCAGAGGCGCGGCGCGGCGCCCCCCTACCGCAATACTGTACTCGCTTGCCCCCCTGTGAGTGTGTGTGTGTGTGAGAGAGGGAGAAGGAGGAGGACGCGATGAGTGTGTATGTGTGTGCAGGGCTGCTGGTGCGAGACGTGGCAGCAGCAACTCGGAGTCAGACGCGGCCGGGTCGGGCGGAGATGGAAGGGACGGGACGGGATGGAAGAGAGATAGGCGGGGAACACGCTAATGCAAAAGTTTGATCTCGATAGCGGTGATGGGAAACCTTATCTATCTCTGACAGTCGACTGGGTGGTGTGATAGAGATCGAAAAGGTAGATACCTGCTGCGCGCGGCTGCCTGGTACGCCGGGTGCGGGGGGGCGCGGTG